ATCTTTTTCAATTGGGCCATCACTGTCCTGACCGGATTGTCCGTTAAGTGCTATTGGGACTGAGACGTTGGCACTCGTGCCCACCCGTTCGGTCGGGATATTAGGATACGCATTCATGTTCCCTTGGACTTCCCCTGGCCGGCCGGCTTCACCAGCGGCAGTAGCAGTAGCGTGTGGAGTGTTCGGAATTGAGCTGATTGACTCCGTCGATTTGGCACTCCATGACGAAAACGCACTTCGTCTAGGTCTTGGTGTTACGCCATCTCGCCCGTACGGGTCTGGGGTTTGCTCACGATCACCGATTGGAGCTCCCGCGGGAGATACGTCTACCGACATCTCGGTTATTCCCTCGGTACTTCTTCCCCTCACTACCCGAGTGGCGATGTATGAAGGAGGGACTCGGTCCTGAACTGGACCGTCTTTGTCTGCGTCGTGTCCATCATGTTGTACAACGCGCCTATCGGCGCTTCTCGAGATATTGGACACGATGTCAGTCTTATCATAGCTCTTTCCCGCAACGACTGAGTCGCGGGGCACATTTGAAGGTTCTTCTTTTGTATGTGACGGCCCCGCGTCGACTGAGTCGCGCGCTTCGGCTGGTAACCCGTCTTTCCTCTGAGAATCGGGGTAAGATGACAAAGGAATTAAGATCTCATGTTCACTCTGCTCAGGGAGAGAGGGGACGGGATGAGACATTGATAAGACAAGTATCCGCTAAGCAAGACTACTCTTACAGGAATGTGAAGGGAGGATGCCGGCCGGGGACGGACGACGACGAACCGCCCGCGCGCCCCAGCGCGCTCCTTTTCTCTCCTGCAAGCCAAGGTTGGCTTGCTCGAGCAGTCATACAGCTGCGGAGCGCAGCTGTCAGTTCCAGCGGACAGTGCGACGCATGCAAACTAAGTTGTGTCTTAATGGATTATGAGGCGGAGAGGAGCTTTTTTACTCCCTCGCACTCTCGAGAAGCGGGCTCTGCACGGCACCTTTGCGCATCTCGACAAGCGGCAGGGCGCGGCACGGCCCGGCAGGGCACGGAACGGCACGGCGCGGCACGGCAGGGCCACGCGGGCGGCAAGCGTCTTCGCAGTTCGCAAGCCAGGCACGGCACGGCACGGCACACGAGCATGCTACGGCACGGAACGGCATGCGAGCGGCAACTATCTCGCCTTCCACAGATTAGGCACGACACGGCACGCGGGCGGCACGTGTCCCGCGTTCCTCACCGCGCGGCTCCACAAGTCACGACCGCTTCCCTGGGGTTGGTGCTTCGTCCAGTGTCCTTGTTTTGATGGTCTCACAACCCGACAGCGGGCCCCAGAGGCCGAAATGAAGGAGAAACGCCGTGATTGAAACACAGACCCTGCGATGCACCCGACCAATCTAACAGAACGTGGCCAAAACTCCCAAGGATGATGGCATCGCAAGGACCGTCCTTTTTCGGTGGCGACTCATGGGAGCCTCCCAAACCATCGTGTCGGCTCGTGCGAATCGACCCTAGTCGACGCTAAATCGACACACATCGGCACTATCTCATCGACTCCCAGACGCTCATCGACGCAAGCCGACGCTAAAATCACTATTAAATCAAACGGGGTATACAGTCAACCCGCAGAGTAAGGATGCGCGATCAGGATGCAAGGGCCCTGGACGCCCATTTCGAAGCTTTTCGAGCGGGCCGCGACCAATGAAAGCGGCCAAGGATGGGCCGAGAAGGCAAGGATGCAAGGGTACCCTTGGGAAGGTTGCCCACCCTTACTACGGCAGGTTCGTGTCGTGCCGACCCCAGCGTTGGTCTTTGACACCGCGGGGATCGTTCAACCTTGAACGATCGGCCGCTGCCGCAACGTCCGATCGTTCAACATCGATCGATTCTGGGTCGCCGGCGGCGTTCAACCTTGAACGTCCGCGCTGGGGTCGCCGCTGGTCGACACGACGCAAACCTACCGTATGCGGGTCGACTGTACACCAGGCTCCCACGAGTTGCTACCGAGTCAGTTGCCGTGCGTGCTTAATACCACACGGGAGGCCCACGCGTCGCGGGACTCACAGGACACCTGCAGGAAGGCAAGGGCGGGACGGAGGCAGTGAAACCACAGGCTCGAAGGAGAAGGGGGCGAGGAGGAGGAGAGGAGGAGGAGGAGGAGGAGAAGGAGAGAGGAGGAGGAGGAGGAGGAGGAGGAGGAGGAGGAGGAGGAGGAGGAGGAGGAGGAGGAGGAGGAGGAGGAGAGAGGAGAGAGGAGAGAGGAGAGAGGAGAGAGGAGAGAGGAGAGAGGCGAGAGGCGAGAGGAGAGAGGAGAGAGGCGAGAGGAGAGAGGAGAGAGGAGAGAGGAGAGAGGAGAGAGGAGGAGGAGGAGGAGGAGGAGGAGGAGGAGGAGGAGAAAGGAGGTGGGAGGAGGAGGAGAGAGGAGGAGTGAGGAGGAGGAGGAAAAGAAGCAGGAAGATGTTGCTGGGGACGGACCAAAAAACGAAGGCGAACCGACCAAACAAAATCGGACGCATCGGAATCGAACGAACCCCTCCCCCCGAGGGGGCCGAACGACGCGTCGAGGCCTCCCCCCCGAGCCCGCACCCATGGGAGGCCATCTTCGGTCAGCCCGAACTGATCCCAAACTTGGGCTCTCGCAGCGAAAACACGACAACGACCGTCCAGGGCAGCTCCTGGGTCCGCGGAGTCGGGCGCGGGGCCGTCCCCGCCAGCCAGCGAATCGACCGAGTCCTTACGCTCGGCGAAGCCAACGCCCCCGGAGGCCCCCAGGACCAGGTCTTCTTGCCCAACTTATAGGACAGAAGCCTGCCCAGGCAAATTCGGCGAAGCTGCTCGGCGAGTCCACCTGCGCCCTTCTTGGGCCCGTGGCACCGGCTCGAAGAAGCTTTGGAAACCGAGCCACCGCCCGAGACGACCCCGCACCGGCAACAGAAGAGAACCTTCCACTTCGGGCCACGCTGGGCCGCTGAAACAGGGGCCCGCCAAAACGCATGCCCCCTCAAACGGAGAGTAGAACGCACGTGTTCGTCTAAACCCGACCCGAGCTCCAACTCCCCCCCCGCCGCCCCCCAGGGGGGCGCGCGTCCTCGGCCAGCACCTGGTCGGCACCCTCGGGCGGGGCCCCGCGTGCTGCGGCCTCGGAAGAGGAGGCCTGCCGAGCCGCGCTCGGGCAGGCCCTGACGGGCGCGCCTCGAGCGTGCCAGCCCGCCTCCCAGCCCCCAGAGGCCAGGCTGCGCAGGCCGCGAAGCGAACTCGCATGTCCTGCAGTGACTCCGCGCTTGTCCACCCCCTGTCTGGCAAAACTGCTGGCAGCTTCAGTGGCCTTCCGCTCCCCATGGGCGGACAACCCTGCATCGAGATCGCTCGGCGTCGCGCGCGCCTCTGTTTCGGAGACCTCGAGGTCCCCGGGCCGAAACGCGCCCCCGAACGGCCCCCGGAGATGGGCCCTGGGGGCGCCGGGGCCCGTCGAGAACCCCCGCCCTGTTTTCACATGGGCGTCAGCCGTAGGCTGGCAGTCCATGCGCAGCTGGAGCGAGGAGGGGGCCTTCGCGCGTCATCAGACGGACCGCACAGCCCTGCCCGTTCTTGCTGGTCTGGGCAGGGGCCGCGCTCACGGGAACAGGTCCGAACGCCGCGCTGATGACCCCCCCCCCGCGCCGAGACCGACGCGATGGGCCACCCCGCCATGGCTAGCCCCAAGTCGGGCGTGCACCCCCCCTACAGGGGGGGTTTGGACGAAACATTAACAATACTTCAAAATAACTCCAAAATGGTCAAACCATGGTGGAAAAATAGTCCCCTGACTATTTTTTGACTACTTTTGGATAATCCCACAGGCCCGACTTAAGGCTAGCCCATTCATCCCCGTGAACTTCGCCGACCCGTCCAGGAACTAGCCCCGAAAGCGTGCCCATCTCTTGTCGACTATGCCTAAAAATGCCCCTCATCTGGAACGACGTCGAACAGCGCCCTGGGATCTGGGAACACACCTCTGGCGAACCTCTCTGCGGTGGCATATCCGAGCAGCTGCGCGTGACTGGTCACTTCACGAAGACGGTCGCCAACGTGGTCCCTCCTCAACGCATCATGGTCTGGAAACTCGCACTGCCTGTGCTAGAGCATCCCAGGGCTCGACTTGCACAGCTGGCACAGCGGGTCGAAATGCAACTTTAGCTTGGTACTTCAGTCTGGTCCTTTAGTCTGGTACCGCTGGTCTGGTACTTTAGTCTGGTACCGCTAGTCTGGTACTTCAGTCTGGTACTTTGTCGGGTACCTAGTTTGGTAATTTAGTCTGGTACTTTAGGCTGGTACTTTGGTCTGGTACTTTAGTCTGGTACTGCAAATCTGGTACTTTAGTCTGGTACTTTAGTCTGGTACCGCTAGTCTGGTACTTTAGACTGGTACTGTAATATGGTACTTTTGTCTGGTACCGATAATATGGTACCGCTTGTCTGGTACTTTAGTCTGGTACCGCTAGTCTGGTACTTGAGTTTGGTACTTAGTCTGGTACCGCTAGTCTGGTACTTCAGTCTGGTACCGCTTGTCTGGTACTTTAGTCTGGTACCGGTAGTCTGGTACCGCTTGTCTGGTACTTGAGTCTGGTACTATAGTCTGGTACCGCTAGTCTGGTACCGGTAGTCTGGTACCGCTAACCTGGTACTTTAGTCTGGTACCGCTAGTCTGGTACTGCTAGTCTGGTACTTCAGACTGGTACCGCTATTCTGGTACTTGAGTCTGGTACTTTAGTCTGGTACTTGAGTTTGGTACTTCAGTCTGGTACTTTAGTCTGGTACTTTTGTCTGGTACCACGATCACGGTTAAGAACCCGCCGCTTACGGTTCAGACATCCCTTCGCTGGAAACAGGGAAGAGGTAGGGAGGAGCGGTCTTCAAGCCATCAAGCCTACCGTTCATCGTGCAGACAGCGAGGGGGGCGATCCAAGCAATCGCCCTCTCGCTGGCGATAGAGTTAAAAGAAGAGGAGGAGGAGAGATCCGTCCGCCGCTCAGCAGGCCCTAGTCGGACTCCTCCTGCGCCCCCGTGGCATCCCTGAACTCGGTGGAGGCCTCGGACTCGCCCAGCGGCGCCGCTGGCCCTTTCTTGTGCGCAAGGCCCTGGGCGATCTCGTCCGCGATCTTAGTCCAGCCGTTCTTCCTGCACGCCTTGCTCAGGTGCAGGGAGGTGCTGTCGCAGGGCGGCACGCGCGCGCTGACCATCTCCCTGTACAGCGCGACGGCCCTCCCGAGCCGCCTGGCCTTGACGCAGCAGTGGATGGCGTCATGGTAGGCGTAACGGTTGGGGTCGAAGCCCTTCTCCTGCATCGTCTGGAAGAGCTCCAAGGCCTCGTGCGCTTTGTCGGCGGCGGTGCACGCCCGGATCAGGGTGCCGTACGTCTTGCCGTTGGGCTCCAGCCCGTGGCTGGACATGGTCTCGAACAGCTGCAGGGCCTGGTGGGTCTTGCCCAGGTGGGAGTAGGCGCAAAGCGCCGCGTTGAACGACACCCGGTCGAACTTGAGCCCTCGCGACACCAGCTCGTCGCAGAGCTCCAGGGTGGTTGCTGGATCCGTCCGCTCGTGCGCGGCCATGATGCAGCGGTACGCCGTCGAGCTGAGCGCGACGCCGTCCTTCCTCATCTTCACGAAATCCGCCGCCATACCGTAACCCTCTGACGCGTGGCTCGTTCCAGGAAAGTCTGAATCTTAAGGAAGGCTGGGAGACCGATGCTTCCTTCCGCTGGCTGCCGCCAGCGGAACCGCCCTCGTCTTACTTATCATTTGTTGCGCGCACTACTCCCTCCTGTCGCTGGACGCTACGTGGTGGGCCTCATGGAAAAAACTCAACCGAAACGGTCGCTTCGGCGCGATCCAACGCCTTGCCAGATCGGGGCACCAGGAGGCGCAGGCAGACGGGCGATGCGACTCGCGGGCACTTCTGCCGACGAGAGCTCCCCAAACCCCGCCCTCGAGCACCCCCACATCTGTGAGGGTGGCCGTTTTACTTCCGCCGGCCTCCGCCGAGAGGGAAAGAGAGAACTCAACGATCCCTCGAAGGCGAGGCCCTTCTCTGGAGCGCACCCGCGCGGCGCAGGGGCAGACCGCCAAGGCTGCCTCGCTATACTTTCTTCGTGCTCTGACATCCCACCTCCTCCTCCTCCTCCTCCGTCTCCGTCTCCGTCTCCGTCTCCGTCTCCGTCTCCGTCTCCTCCTCCTCCTCCTCCACCTCCTGCTCCTCCTCCTCCTCCTCGGTTCCTGGGTTCCGGTTTAAGTGCCAGGGGGCAGCCCAAAATCGACCCGCGTCGCGAACAGCCAGCGCAAGCCAAGCGCCCGCGACGCGGCCCTGGGCCCCAGACAGCTCCGAGACTGCCCCCACACCGCCTCCAGTAAGCTCTGGGGAGGCCCAGACCCGCACGATGCCGCAGGCTGCGCACCTCTGAGCCACAGGCTACTCACCCCTGAGCCACGGGAAAGACCGATGACACATGACACAGCCCTCTCTACACGGGGGAGGTAAGCTGGTAAGTGATGTGACCATCTGTCTGATCATGCTCCACGCAGCGCAAGCGTTGTACCCGAGGCAACGGCAATGGTTCCGAGCAGCGGCAACGACCTGTGGGCGAAATGCTTTCCAGACGAGCAGCGGCTGCCGCGCACCTTCTTACACACAATATCGTACATCTGGGACCAGACGGAAGCCGTGCATCGCATACTACGTCCCCCTCGAGCCTGCGATTGAGCGTGCAACATGGTTTAGCCTGCTGGAGCCAAGGGGCGAGCCCTATCAAACGTGAAACCCTTCCGGATGGTCCTCAAAAGGGTCGCAGCACGGAGTGCTGCGGTGACAGGGTGGCAGGATTTGCCACAGGCACCCGGATATTCCATGACGTGCTCCGGAAGCTTGCTCCTCCACGCGCAGATCACCCGGTTCTGCGCGAGGTTCGTCGGGATGATCCCGTGAGCCTGGAACGCCTCGAGCAGCCGCAGCCCGTCGGCACGCAGGCGCGCGTCGTCCAGGTTCTCCACCATGAGCTTGAAGAGCCTCCTGCGCTGGACACACTTGGGCGTGGCTTAGTGGGGGGGTCATAAATGGGGGGGTCAGAAACGGTCCCCTTTCGTGCCCCTTTCGGGCCCCTCTGGAGCCCCAGGGGGCTCGTTTAGGTACCGTTTGGGTACCTTTTCGGACTACCCGCGACACCCCCCCATTTATGACCCCTCCATTACGCAACGCCCAACACACATTCGCAAGAGGGGCCCCGGGGAGGAGCGGCCTGTGGTGCGCGGCTGCGGGGGGCCCCCGGGGGCGGCCGAGCCCCCGCGCGCAAGCCGAGCCCGAGCGCGCAGGCCTGTGCTGGCGAGACCCCTGCGGGCCCGCACCAGAGGTCACTCCAGCCCAGGGGCACTCCCACAGTCGGGGTGGATTGGAGAGGACACGCGAGAGGACACAAAGACCCTTCCGAGGGCCACACTGCCACAGGAATGCAGGAAGCATATGGGTCGCGAGACACAGGACACAAGGGCACCCTTGGATCTGGCAAGGTCGACGCATATACTACTCTGGGCCGACCGTACGCGCCGCCGGCCTGCGGGTGTACATGCCGAGCGCGCCGCAGTCGTAGCCCGGGCGCCCCTCCAGGATCTGCTCGAAGAGGCCCAGCGCCGCGGCGACCTCGGACGCCTCGGGCGGCCCCTCCGCTGCGGCGCCCTCGCGCGGCGCCGGGCAGCCCGCGCCGGCGGAGCCCCGGGGGGCGTGGCCCGAGGCCGCGCCGGGGCCTTCCTGGCGGCAGCGGTGCCGCGCCTCGCCGGGGGGCGCCGGCTCCGCCGCGCGCCCGCGCTCGGGCGCCGCCCTTCTGGCCGGGGGCGGGCCCTTCGCGGCGCCGCCGGCCTTCGGCGCGCGCGCGGCCCGCGCGCTGGCGGACCCGAGGCGGAAGGCGGCGGCCATCACGGCGACCATGAGGATGTTGGTCTGCCAGTTGTAGTTTGCCTCGGGCATCTGGATGGAGCCGGCGAGGAGGGCCTCGCTGAGCGCGTAGAGCGCGATGGCGAGCGCCACGGGGCCCGCGCGGCGCGCGCGCTCGGCGTCGACGGTGGGAGACAAGACCTGGCGGCAGAGCGACGGCATCATCTTGGGTGGTTGCGCCCTTCCGGGCGAGAGAGGCAAAGGTTGGTGGTTCGGGGCACCGCGTGTGCCCTGGAGAAGACGGTCCTGCGCGGACGTGTGTGATGTCTACCGCAGCGGCGGCGCTTGTCTGCCTGGGAGCTTGCCCAAATGGCTGCGGAGGAGCCTCCGAGCAATTCAGGCCCGGTGCCACGCACGGGCAGCCCCCGGAGCAACAGCAACACCATCGCCAACAACGATAACAACAGCAACAACAATAATGTCAAGACTGTTCCCTCTTATTTGCCCGCGTGCCACTCAACACGTATATCCCAAACCTTCGATACCCGTCCTCTTCGTCTCCGATCGTAGCCCACTTTTTACCTGCAACGTGTATCTCGTACAGCCCCGAAGGCAGGGAAAGAGAGGACGGACGGAAGGAATGGACAAGGGGGGGGGAAAAGGATAGAACACGAGAGAAAGAGAGAATAGCAGAAAGGGGGGCTAAGAGCAGAAAACACGTGGCAGAACCAGACGGGCGAATCGGGCGCGTAGACCTTAACAGGCGGGTCGGGAATGCGGGCCCATGCGGCCAGGTCGAGCAGGCGGGTTGCTGAAGCGTGCGTCCTGCTTGAGTCGTGAGAAAGTCCATAGCGAGAGCGCGATTTCTGAGTGTCGAAGGCGCGGCGTCTGAATAAATTGCGAGGGAGTCCCACGCGAGAGCGCGATTCCTGGATAAATTGTGAGGAAGTCCCGCGCGAGAGCGCGAGTGCTCAATAATTGTACGGAGAAATCCAGTGGGAGCTGTTGAACTCTCATAGCTGAAAAAAATGTTGATCCCCCCTCTTGTGCACATTGTATTTTTCAATTGAAGTGCCCCTCCCGGCGTTCGCGCCCTGTTTTTATCACCGGAAATCCTCGTCCTCAGACTGCGTTGGTGGCCCCCAGAATACAACAACAACAACAACAACAACAACAACAACAACAACAACAATAACGGCTCCCGCCTAAAACTTCCTCATAATTTAACCAGGACCCCCGTTTCCGCCTGAGACGTCCTCGCATGTTATTCAGGAGTCGCGCTCTCGCTTGGGACTTCCTTACAATCTATTCAGAAATCGCTCTCTCGGCGCTCTGGAATCGCGCTCTCTCTCTGGAGACTCGCTTGCAACGTACTCGAGAAAAATGCCCTTGCGTTGGGATTTCTGGCAATTTACTCCAGCGACGCGCTCCCGACACTCAGGCACCCAGGAGTCGCGCTCACGCTTGGGACCCCCTCGCAGATTATTTAGGAATCGGGATCTCGCTGCCCTCCGCGGCCCCGTTGCAGCCCTTCGTGGCCCCTTCGCTGCACTTCGTGGCCCCGTTGCAGCCCTTCGTGGCCCCCCCGCTGCCTTTCGGAGCCCCGTTACAGCCCTTCGTGGCCCCCTTGCTGCCCTTCGTGGCCCCGTTGCAGCCCTTCGTGGCTCCCTCGCTGCCCTTCGTGGCCCCGTTGCAGCCCTTCGCGGCCCCCTCGCTGCTTTCGTGGCCCCGTTGCAGCCCTTCGTGGCTCCCTCGTTGCCCTTCGCGGCCCCGTTGCACTCCTTCGCGGCCCCCTCGCTACCCTTCGCGGCCCCGTTGCAGCCCGTCGTGGCCCCCTCGCTGCACTTCGTGGCCTCGTTGCAGCCCCTCGTGGCCCCCTCCCTGCCCTTCGTGGACCCGTCGCAGCCCTTCGTGGCCCCCTTGCTGCCCTTCGTGGCCCCATGTATGTATGCCCTTCGTGGTCCCCGCTCGTTCGCGCCCGTCGCGGCCCCATGCGCATGCCCTTCGTGGCCCCGCTGTCGCCCTTCGCGGCCCCCTCGCTGCTTTCGTGGCCCCGTTGCTGCCTTCAGTGGCCACATTTTTGCTCTCCGCGGCCCAATGTACGCATGCCCTTCGTGGACCCCGCTCGTTCGCGCCCGTGCCGTCGCCTTTTGTGGCCCCCTCGCTGTCCTGCGTGGCCCACTTGCTACCCTCAGCGGCCCCGTCGTTGCCTTCTGTGGCCCGGCATTATCTGCCCTTCGTGGCCCCCGCTCGTTCGCGCTCTTCGTGGCCCCATGCGCACTCCCTTCGCGTCCCCGCCGTCGCCCTGCGTGGCCTACTTCGTGCCCTTCGTGGCCCTGCTGGCGTTCTCTTTCTCGCTCTCGCTATCGCTCATCGTCGTCGTCGTCGGTCCCCTGTCCGTCCCTCTTGGGGTCGGGTTGCCGCCGATCAACTCTGCCGCTGGCCAGGCCGACGGTGAGCGGCCGCCCCGCCGCTTGCCGGGGCCCGGCCTGCAGGGAAGAAAGGCATACCCCCCAAAAGCGGCACGACCGAAGACGAGGAGGGCGGGCATCGAGGGTTCGGAAAATACGCGTTAATGGACACACGAGCAGATAACAGCGAACAGTCTTAACATGATTGTGGCTGTTGTTGCTGTTGCTGCTGCCGCTGTTGTTGAATTCTCACGACGGAAGAAAAACTATTGTTGATCCCCCCTCTGGTGACCATAATGTTTTTCAATTGAAATGCTCCCCCCGGGGCTGGAACCTTTTTTTTACGAGGAAAAATCACTATGGTCAAACTGCGTTGTTAGCCTCCGAACAACGACAACGGCTCCCGCCTGATACTTCCTTGCAATGTATTCCCAAATCGCGCTCTCGCGCGGAACTTCCTCACACTTCATTCAGGAATCGCGCTCTCGAATGGGATTTCCTCGCAATTTATTCAGACGCCACGCCCTCGACATTTAGGAGTCATGCTCTCGCTGCAGATTTCGTTACGATTGATTTGAGAATCGAGCTGTCGAGCGAAACTTCCTCGCGATTCATGCAGGACACAAGCTTCAGCAACCCGCCTGCTCGACCTGGCCGCCTGGGGCCTCCTTCCCGACCCGCCTGGTAGGGTCTACCCACCCGATTTGCCCGTCTGGTTCTGCGAAGTGTTTTCTGCTCCTAGCCCGTGTTTTATCCTCCTCCCTCCCCTTGTCCATTTCTTCTGTCCATCCTCTCTTCCCCTGCCTTAGCGGTTCCGCGAAATACACGTTGCAGGTAAGAAAGATACCCCCAAGGGGGTACGGTCGAGGACGAAGAGGGCGGGTATCGAGGGTTCGGGATATACGTGTTGAAGAATGGCACGCGAGCAAGAAAAGCGAACAGTCTCAAAATGATTGTTGTTGTTGTTGTTGTTGTTGTTGTTGTTGTTGTTGTTGTGGAGGTTGTGGAGGTTGGTTGTTGTTTGTTGTTGTTGTTGCTGCTGTTGTTGTGTTTGTTGTTGTTGGTTGTTGTTCTTGAAATTTCACTTATGAGAGCAATTATTATTGATCCCCGTCTGCCCGGTGCCGTAGAGCCCATCCCGGGGCTCGCATCCTGACTTCTACCAGAAAGGAAAGCCTTGAGCCTCAAACTGCGCCCCCGGTCCCCGAGTTACATCAACACCGGCTACTGCCTGACACTTCCTCACTTGATTGAAAAATCAGGCTTTCGCTTGAGACTTCCTTGCGATTCACTCAAGAATCGCGCTCTCGCCTGAAACTTCCTAACAAACTTATTCAGATGCCGCTCCTCGACACTCAGGAATCGCGCTTTCACTGCGGACCTCCTCACGATTCACTTGGGACTCGCGCTCCAGCTAAATACTTCCTGGCGATCCATGCAGGATTCACGCTTCAACGACCCGCCCGCTCGACCCGCCTGTCGGGGCCTGCCCGCCCGACTAGCCCGTTAGGGACTGCAGTCGCCGCCCGCTGCCCTTCGCCCGCCTTCGCTCGCTGCCCTTCGTGGCCCCGTTGCTGCCCTCAGTGTTTTTTTTTCCGGCATGAAGAGACCCCCGAGGCAGCAGCGCGTTCCCGCACGCGCCCGCGAAGGCTCTGGGCACAAATTAGGAGGAGGGGGAGGAGGAGGAGGAGGAGGAGGAGGAGGAGGAGGAGGAGGAGGAGGAGGAGGAGGAGGAGGAGGGAGGAGAGAGGAGGAGGAGGAAACGGATGAGGGAGGAGGAGGAGGAGGCGGAGGGGAGGAGGAGGGAGGAGGAGGAGGAGGAGGAGGAGCAGGAGAAGGAGGAGGAGGAAGAGGAAACGGATGATGATGAGGAGGAGGAGGAGGAGGAGGAGGAGGAGGAGGAGGAGGAGGAGGGCGGCCGGCTCAACCAGCCGCTGCCCGCCAGCCGCCGCCCGCATAGCACGGCTATGCGGGCACCCGGAGCCACGGCGCGGCGGCCCGCAGCCAGCAGAAGCGCCGGCGGCCAGCGGGGCGCCAAATCCAGAAGTCCTTAAAGCCCCCCACCCAGCGGCCTCGGCGGCGGGCCCGGCGCCCTCGCCACGAAGGGCACAGAATGCGGGGCCACGAAGGGCAGCGACGGGGCCACTGAGGGCAGCAACCCTGAGCGGTCCCGGGCGCCCGAGCTGCGCCGCCACGGACGCCGGCGAGGCCACGAAGGGCTGCAACGGGGCCACGAAGGGCAGCGAGATCCTGATTTCTAAATCAGCTGTGAGGGAGTCCTACGCGTGAGCGCGACTCCGGGGTGCCTGAGTGTCAGGGGCGCGGCGCTTGAGTAAATTGCAAGAGCTCCAACGCAATAGCGCGACTCTTGAATACATTGCCAGCAAGTCCCCAGCGAAAGCGCGACTCCAGAGCGCCGAAAGAGCGATTCCGGAATAAATCGTGAAGAAATCCTAAGTGAGACCGCGTCTCCTGCGTAAAATGCGAGGAAGTCTCAGGCGGGAGCGGGGGTCCTGGCTGAATTGTGAAGAAGTCTCAAGCGGGAGCCGTTGTTGTTGTTGTTGTTGTTGTTGTTGTTGTTGTTGTTGTTGTTGTTGTTGTTGTTGTTGTTGTTGTTGTTGTTGTTGTTGAACTTTCATTCTTAAAGAATAATTATTGTTGATCCCCCCTCGCCGGTGCACATTGGTTTTTTCAATTGAAGTGCCCCCCCGGGGCTCGCACCTTGTTTTTTGTCAAAAAGTCTTCCTGCTCAAACTGGCCCCCTGGCCCCCGGGTTACAACAAACGGCTCCCGCTTAAGACTTCCTCACAATTT